TTTTGAATGCATTGTGTTTACTTTCCAGTGGGGAAAAAAAGGTTTGGCTGAAATGCAAACATCTGGGCTTTCCTGGAAAGATATCAAGAGATAAGAGGAAAAAAGAGCAATGTATTTAAAACCAGTTGAATACTTTTTTGATACCACTGGAAGTGTAGCTCACTTCTTGTATATTTGTATGTTTCTTGCTGAGAAATGCCATGCCGTATTAAGGTTGCTATTGTAATTAGGTAGAACTGTATCTTTTCCATCAGCATGTGATATACTTCCAAAAAGAGTCATTTGAAACAAATCAGTGGTGAATGAATGAATGAAAGAAAGGAAAGAAGAAAGAAAGATAGATAGATAGATAGATAGATAGATAGATAGAGAGATAGATAAATGGAGGGCCCACTTTTGATAAAGTCATTCTGGGCAACAAAGTATTATGTCTAGAACAAGAAGCACCTGAGTAGCAATAAACTGGTTTTTTGTGCTGCTGTATCAAAAAATAAACAGATTCATAATGAAATTAATAAACTTTTTATGATTATTTTCATATCCTATGGCACTTTGCAAGCTTTCTAAAACAGGGGTCTCCAACCTTGACAACTTTAAGCCTGGCAGACTTCAACTCCCAGAATTTCCCAGCCAGCTTTGGGGAATTCTGGGAGTTGAAGTGTGCCAGGCTTAAAGTTGCCAAGGTTGGAGACCCCTGTCCTAAAAGATGTATGTCAACTCGTAAAGCATTCTAGCCAGCTCTTGAGTTGCCATAGGCAGGAGGGGAGAGAACTGATGGAGAAGCTCAGTTGCTATGACCAGAAGCACATTCCATGCATATTGCACGTATATCAGGTTACTAGAGCAAGCCAGAGAAGTGTGTTTTCTACAACCTGCAAAAGTGCTCCATTGGCAAATGTGATTTATGACACACCCTGAGAGGAGGGTGGAAACAAGGTCATAGATGGGCAGTAAATTATGTGAGGCAGAGCGAACTGCACTTGGGAAAGTGCCAACATGTTGCTCCTAATAAATAATTGGATTTCTTTTTAAACTTGGCTCGAGGCTCATGAATTAATTAGGGCATCCATCGGAACCCTGACAATGTATTTGGTTAACCTAGCTATCTAATAATACTTATGATTTGAGTGCTGTTAGATTTCAGGGTGATCAATGGTTCCATTGCTAGGCACATCTATTTAAACGTTGGTAACAAATGAAAGAATGACCCAACATATTAGTAAAATAGGCAATACAGGTTGCTTAGAATGGAAGTGTGACTACAGTTTTGGATCAAATTGTACCAGAATAGCCTCTCCATGCCCATAGTTCCCACAACTCTTATGTTATGTGAAAGGGCTGAGGGAACTAAAAAGGTCTAAGAAATGGTAGAGAACTATTAGCAAAAGACAGGAGTTGAAAATGATTGAACAGCTGCTAGAACTGCTATTAGAGCCTGCCTCTTGATGATAAGGGGGGGGAAATGTAATTGTGCCTCCACAGATAGTGACTCAATGAATGTTTCAGATGACTTGATTCTTCCTTGAAAGAAATTATACTGAGATTGGGGGAGGGGGGGGTCTCTGTAAGGAATATGCTGTCCATCTAGCAGATAAAGTTGCTCATATTTGGTCTAGATTGAACTTTGGCCTTGAGGCAGAACCGGTAGAGGTTATGGGAGCTAAGGCTCCCATACTTTGAGGGGAGTTTGATCTTGTTGGACCTAAGGAAATGAACAAGCAGTTGCAACTGCTAGCTCAGCCACATCTGTGTTAGATTTCTGCTCTTCCTGGCTGGTTAAGGCTGCCTGCATGATTGGGTCTGGTTAGTGATTAATTCTTTCTGAGGGAGAAAGTGGTCTTACTGGCTCTTAAGGAGGCCTTGATGAACCCTCTCCTCAAGAAACTTGACCTATCTAATCAGGACAGTTTTTATCTGATCTCCAACCTTCCCTTTTTAAGGAAAGTTGTGGAGAAAGTAATCACTTCGCAGCTTCAAAAAACCCTGAATGAAGCAAATTATCTGGACTCTTTCAATTAGGATTTAAGATGTATTATGGGAAGACAGCAACATTGATTTCATTTTTAGATGCATTCTGGTAGGAGCTGTCTAGGAGTAATGCCATTCATCCTTATTCTTTCTGACCTCTCAGAGCCTTTGATACCATCAGTGATCATATCCTTCTGAATCAGTTCTAGGAGTTGGGCAGCATTGTATTCCATTCTCCTGCTTCCTCAACTATTTATTCATGGTAACAGCTGTACCATGTTTCTTGCAATGCTTGTACATAGAATGGAATAGTTCACACACTTTTCTCTGGTACCACAGCAATTACCTCATGCGGGTGATTGCAATTTTGATAATTCTGATTTTTTGGTCATAGAAAACTTTAATACGGGACTATTTTCTAAATTACCCTATTCTGAAGCTCTAACTGTGGAAGCAAACTTACTGGAAGGAAATGTTTATGAAAACTTCTGTAATTGATGTTTTGTGCCGAGAAAGACCTGAATTTAATTAAAAATTAAAAGACAATTAAAAAAAAGAAATTTGTTGTGCCATAATCAACCTCCTCATCTTGTCAGGAATTGCTAATTCCAGTTGAAGCCAGCCCTGAAAATTCTCCTCACTGTTCCCCAACAAATGTACCTATATATGGGGCAAGAGTAGTGCAAAGAACCTTTGAATATTGAATACTTGTTTATTAGTTTATTTTATCCCTTTTTATTATTTTTTATAAATAATTTTGTAAATAATCCAAGATAGACAATATACCTAATATTTCTTCATTCTGTTTTCCCTATAACAACAACCCTATGAGGTGGCTTGGGTTGAGAGAGTGTGACTGGCTCAGTGGCCCAAGATTATTCAGCCAGTTTTCATGCCTAAAGTGGGACTAGATTTCTAGCCTGGTGCCTTAATCAATATATCAAACTGATTCTGAAGATCCATATTGTAAGCAATGGAACATTCTTCTGTATATTAAGTATTTTAGCTTTCTTGAAAATCTACAAATAATCTAGGTGATGGTTTGAGTTTTCAACTTTATGAATCACATTGAACACTTTTCAGTATAGTTCTTTAAAATCTATTTCAAATAACCATCAAGAAATGGCGATAAAGATAATATATACATGGCACAAACCTCAGTGAGTTGTAAACAGATTGGCACATATAACCATCTTGGGTCATAATGACCAATTTAGTCTTTTAGGTTAAATGTTTTAAAGCGTTAGAAACGTCACCGCTCTTTCATCATGAATCCTTTTGGCTTAATGCTCATGTTTCCTAAGTCACATAGATTAATGCATCAGTAAAAATCAATAATTATGGTTTTTGCTAGGTCCCAGATTTGTCATTGTATTACAATAGAAAATCGAAGTATAGTTTCACAGAACCAGTGATATTTCGAAGTGTACAAATTGTTCTGAGAAATAAATACCAAATAACAAAACCCCTGTTTAAGAGTTCCTTTCATGTATTCAGCTCAACATGAAAGGAACAGGGACAGGAAAGAAGAAAGCAGAGAAGGAAAGAAATGCAAATTAACAAACATCTCTTGGAAAGAAAGCTGGCTTGATTGATTTCACTTTCAACAGGACAGGCAGAAGAGTAATCAAACTTCAGTCCAAAGTTCAGAGTCGGGTTTGTCAGCCAGTCACAGATCAGAGTTCTGCAGGAATGCCACACCCCAAAGCAGGAAACAGTTGCTTTCAATAAAGAAGCATGGCTCCAGGCTGCTTTTTAAATCAGGCTGCAGCCAGCTGCCTTTAATCAAGAGAGCTACTCCTTTACTTGGCAAGGAGCTTCACTGAGTATCTTTGATCTATTCACTGGATACAAGGGTTTGGAGGCCTTATCTCATCATTTGACTGCTCCAGCTGTTCTGATAGTGCCTGTGTTAGATTACTCTCAAGTGATTCATGTCTTGATATGTCTTGAAGTGGACATTCCACTGGGTTAGTTGTATCAGGATTTTGGGGGGGGATTTGCATCCCGGGCCATGACACTGGGTCTCATCAGGCTCACATGAGAATTTGACTCCTGAAATATTGGAAAAGGCTAATGTCAGAGGTCCAAGTAGTTCTCCCAACAATTTTACCTCCTCTGCAGAAAAGAATATCCTTGGATGTCTTCCTTTCAGTCAATCTCTGCTATTGATTGGATCAGAAAAATGTATATGGTAGAGCTCAAGAGTCCTTGAGCTGGATCTGCAGAAAGACAGATCCAAGGTATGAAATTATTATGAAAGCTTCTGTAGCTCTTTCTGGTTTTCCATCATTCTCTCTGTTGCACATAAGAAGTGCCTCCACTGACAATCTTTACTGCTTTACCTTCAAACATTTTGGAAGGGAGGCTGAGCAACATGCTATACTTGGAACACCACTATCCATGCATGGACATGGCTATCAAGATAGGTCTACCTCTTTTTTCTGTTCTTCTTGTAGACATATTTTGCACTTTGTGCTTTTAATTAATATTTTTACTAAATACGCAGAGTAGCCTGAAATGAAATTTGATGCTTTTTACCAGTGGATCAGCCTACCAAGATTTCTATGAAGTTGCTTAGTTATGATTGTTCAAAGGTATTACATCTGAATTTACTTCACGTTTAGATACTCTGGAGGGGTTTATGCCATGTGTGAATGTTCAACATTTATTGCTAATATCTGGCCCTCTAATTTGCTAATTTCTCATATCATTGAATTGAAAACCCTTATTGCTTCATCTTTTACTGTAAACTATTTTTTTAAAAAGGCCCTTCCCTTCAATATTAGCACTTAGTTTCATCCTTTCATATTGAAGATAATAACCATCCAGGCAAGTTGTTCAAGCTGACTCTGAAGCTCTTTCTGTTGTTTAAAATGGCAGATTATTATAGACTTAAATAAGTTATTTGCTATTTTGGTTCTATGTGTAAATGCAAGTATGTACTTTTATTAGGGGGAGGGACAGAAAGCCAGTTTGTTATATAAATATTTCTTCAAAAATGTAATACTTGCTGTACAAATTCATTTTAGGAACATCTTCCATCTGTATCTGATTTATAATGAGTGCCAAATCTGCTATCAATAAAGAGATTTTTGCACCACATGATGAAAGGATGCTGGGTGCAGTCCAAGTAAAAAGGAGAACGAAGAAAAAGATTCCTTTCCTGGCAACTGGGGGTCAGGGTGAATACTTAACCTACATTTGCTTGTCAGGTATGCAAATCATTTTGAAATCCAGCTATGCTTTCAGTTTGTTTGTAAAAATTGATTGATGTTGTCTGGATAAAAATAATGTGGCATCTTGAATTTTAATTAGACAATTAGATGAAAAATCAGAGCATAAACTTTCAGTATTCCTATATTTAAATTATAAAGGGAACGTATGGACAGAGTTATGTCATGTGATGGAGTCAGTAATATATTTATAGACTTTAAAATATTTCTCAATATTTGGCCATATTCTTCACAAGATCTATTCTTTCAGGCATTAATGTGGCCTGAAAAGCCCTGGAACCACAGTGGTTAAAAGTGTAGTATTGCAAGCAAATTTGCCCACAGTCTGAAGTTCAATAATGACAGGGCTCAAGGTTGACTCAGTCTTCCATCCTTCCAAGGTTGGTAAAATGAAGAGCCAGATTGTTGGAGGGCAGTATGGTATAAAGCACTGTGAGGCTATATATAAGGCCAATTGTCATTGCTAATGTGCCAGTGAAAGAATGGACCTAGATTTTTGGTATTGCATAAAGAAATTTCTGTATGTATATTTCCTATGTTCTTAAAGGAGACATTATCATACATACCTGTAGATCAACCAAGAATTTTGGGTGCCTAAATAGACAAAAAAAATGAGTTCATCTGATCTGCATGAATAGATGGCACAGGTGTTCCTCAACTTACGACCATAATTGAGCCCAAAATTTCCATCATAAGTCATAATGGTTATAAAGCAGGCCATCATGTGACTGGATAGGCACCTCTTTTGTGGCAGTTGTTAAGCAAATGCCATAGCCATTAAGCAAATCTGTTGTTTGCTATGGGACATGTTTTGCTGGAAACTGGAAGTAAGGAACAGTTTCTGGGAAAAATTGTGTTGTAAATTGTGATCATCTGGCCACAAGGCACTGCAAAGGCATCACAAGGGATTGAGTTTGTAGACTGTATAGTAGGCAAATGCAAAGGACCCAATGCAGTGTACTGTTGAGATTTCCAGATTATAAATGATAAATTCCAATATTGTATTTTTGATTTAGTCTGTGTGTGTGTTAGTGTGCAACCTTTAAGCAACCGGACCATTACAGTATGTTCCAGAGTATATTTAAATACATAGAGTACTCTATTGTATTGGTTTTGTTGGCTTGTTGAGCTTTAGTATGTATGTGTTGTACATGGTTTCTACATGGTCTTTGTTGTTGTTGATAACTGGTTTTTTTTAGGTAGATTTGCAAGTTAAGAGTAGCTGACAATAGATGAAATTATCATTTTTGGAAAAAACAAAGAAAGAATATTGCTTATCCTAATTCAAAAAGAGTGCAGGCAGTTTACTCTGATTTTTCCATATATTTCTAAACTGTGAGGTTTACTGAATTGTCCATATCAAGGATATTTTCCTACCTTAAAGATGGAATTTTCTCCTCCTCCCCTTTGCTATTGTTGAAATATGTATGTATTGAAGTTGTTAAAGCTCGCTAACTTGTAAAACTATAATGGTAGAAGATTCTCTACTTTTCTATACCAGTAATATTGAAAACTGTAAAATTTATATCTAAGCATACATTTAGGTAGTTAATAACATTTCATACATTTGCTGCTCTGATGAATATCACTTCATTCCATTGCATCAGTGCTTACGTTGCTTGTAGTTTAAGCCTCATTGCTTTTTCCTAATCAATTTGTATTTAATCTTTCAAAAGCTTGGGGCTGCTAAATGTTTTTGGGAGACTTGACTACCAAAGCAGAACAAAATCAAAGTTACCTTATCTACTTGTATACCTGTCAGCTTGACATCTGTGTACCAGGCAAGTCCTCATATTATTTTTCAGCACTTCTGGAAACTCTCAGATGTAGTTGATTCAATTAAAAAGAGCCAATAAGAGTGATTTGCAAACAAATGATGCAGAACCAACTTTATCTTCTTCAGATTAATTTAATATATCAAGGGAATGAGATAGACTGTAACTGTATCTCAGAAAAGTCTTGGAGATATCTTGTGTATTGTGACATCATCTTAGCAAAACAAAAAAATATATGGCGGATCCTAGATGAACTTACAGTTGGCTGAATGACTATTCCAAATAAAGTTTGTTAATGGTTTCATTTCAGCACAATGGGACATAACAAGTAGAAGTCATTTTAGCAATGATTTTGATGAGAATGTGGAGGAAATATTTAACAAATTTGCGGATTACACAGCAGGAACAGAAAAATCTAGATAGGCTTCAGCAATGGACTGAAATTAACAGGGATAAAATTTAACAAGAAGAAATATAATGTTCTACATCAGGCAAGGAAGAATATATGTATACGATGGAATTAAAGGATGGAGAATACCTGCCTTTGCAGATGTATATGTTAAAGGGACTTTGGAGTTCTTGTTGCCCACATATTAACCAAGAACCAATATTGTTATGCATTAATTGTTCCACTTTACTCTGTCTTCAGGTCAGATCCTACTTGTAATATTGTGTTCATTTCTAGATGCCACCGCCATTCAGAAAGGAGAATTAGAGAAGTCACTCCCCAAGGTGGGGAGCCTGGAAACAAAGCCAATGAGAACCAGTTAAAGGATCTGGTGGATATATCTAACCTACAAAATATGATAACAGTCTGTAACTATCTAAAGGGCAGTCATAAAGAAATGATTTTCTTTTGTCCTGGAAGGCAGGACTAGAATAAGTGGGTTGTAACTACAAAGAGGGTGAGATTACAGGTCTAAAGGAACTTCTAATGTAAGAATTGTCAGTCAGAGGAATTGACTTCTGGACAGAGTGGTGGTGAGTTCTCTTTTGCTGAAGATCTTCAAACAGAAACTGCATGTCATTTGTTAGATATATTCTGGTAAATCCTAAACTGATTGGGGAACTTAAATAACAGCAAGGTCATTTCCAGATCTATGATTCTTTGATAGAATCTGCTCTGCTCTAAGAACTCTGGCTCTTGACTTATTTTTCACCCAGTTTATGTTATGATCTTTTTTAAAATGACACTTCATTTTTATAAGCTCCTTTGTAGACTCACTTGAAGATAAAAGAAATACCTTAAATGTAAAAATAATAGTATAAGTATAAACAATACATTAAATGGATACATATAAGAAAAATAAAAAGAATCAATAGGACAGGAACGGTAGGCATGATGGTGCACTTATGCACACCCCCTACAGACCTCTTAGGAAAGGTGTGAGGTCAATAGTAGACAGTCTAAGGTTAAAGTTTTGGGGGGTTGGGGAAGAAACCACAGAGTTAGGTAGAGTATTCCAGACATTGACTACTTAGTATGCTAATTGTTTCAAATTATATAGATTTATAGATTGTGTACCCAGTTCTAAGACAGGAGATTAACCCTAAAAAAGAACAAGTTGCCAAAGATCTCTGTATTTAATGTGTATGTTTTCCACAAAAAAATATAGTGGTGTAATCTGTTGCATAAATTCTTTTACTTTATTTTATAGTGCTCATAATCTTCCCCAGTTACGAAGTACTTTGAATGGTATACAGCATCAACAAACAGAAACTCAAAGACATAATAACAAAGAAGGCAGTCGGAATAATCATGGAAACAAAAACAGCAAATATAAAAGCCAAGATAGATAGCCACAGTTAGTCAGCTAGGACTGAAAGTGCTTTTAAATAAAACTATTTCAACAGGTTTCTGGGATTGCAACAAAGTGTGAGCTGTACTTTCTTCTGGAAAGAGTGTGCTATTGTACAGAAGACCTGCCGTTTCATTCATGCTCTGGGACCTTAAAGATTAGAGGGAATTTTCAGCAGATGTGCTCTCAATGATCAGAATAGACATGCCAATTCAATTCTAGCACTGATGTATCCTGATGCTATTCAGTTTAGGGCATTAAAAATAATAGCCAGCACTTGGTCTTAGAAGCCTAGTGGCAAACTAATGCTGCAGCTTTAATATTAGCGATAATTCTTGAATCAACAGGGCTGTCTTACCTATGATCTCGTTTCCCATGTTTTGTATCAGCTGCAGCTTCAAGGTTGTCCCCAAAACCAGTTTTGGTGACCTTCCAATATTTTAGTTGTAGTTTTTCTAATGAAAAGTAAACAGTAGTAGGATAAAAGAGGAAAGTTTATGATCAAGGAGAAAAAAAATATATGAGTAGGGAGAAAAGTTACTAAGCCATTTTTTATCTTTTTTTTTCCAAAAATTTTATTAATTTTTTAAAAAACAAACATATACAAACAAAACACAAAACATGAAAACATAAAACATCTTTTTTGAAAGCAGCTTGATCCTGGGTTACATCTCTTCGTACAGAATATAAATTCAAGTTCATGCTCACTTTTATATACCATTCCATATCTTATTACCATTCTACATTTTTTATATAGCTTCTCCTCTCTTTTCACTCTCTTAATTCTATTTTATTTATTTCATCTTAATTTAAATCATTATACATATATCCTTTGTCTGTCCTATTTCAGCTGTCTATTATCTTTTCTCATTAACACAAAATTTCTCCTGTTATCACTGATTGGAGTATGACACCTTTATATCTTTCCCCTAAATTTAACACTTAATATAATTAACTTTCATTCGGATTCTGCTTAGTACATTCTAAAGCTACGCATTATATTTTAAGAAAAGAAAAAATTATAAATATATAATATAATTAAAACAAAAATCCATACCAGTTGAACTCTATTATTAAAATTAATATTCATTTAAATCTTAAACTTTTTACACATTCCTTTTCAAATAGGTATCATGCTTCTATGGGAACACTTATAAATTTTGCGTAGTTACTTCTCCCCCATTTCACTTATATTTTAAAACATTATATAATTAAAATGTTCCCATTCCTTCTTAATTCAGTTCTCTCATATTTCATTTCATTTATTTTGTTCAAGAAAAAAAAGTTTCACTAAATTACATTGAATATTTTATCCCATTTTATAATCATATGTTATTCCAATTTTCTAACATTATTTCTAATACAAATACAACAATACAGTCTTATGTACCTTTGCAGAATCTCT